CCAATGGTCGGAATTTCTATTATATAACAATGACTTGAGATACTAAAAGCTCTTTTATAAAGATAGGTATGATGATGCGATAATTTCAGTATGCTTACATTACATTTTCATGCTAAACTTAAACTCGAAGTACTCGTAAGTTCATTGCTTAAGAAAAAAACAACATCGCAGCTTCTTAGAAATAAAATATGCAGCAAATGTAGCATGATTATGTAGATTATTGCGTACGTCTCTTGGATGGTATTTCTCAAATAAATAAATTGACATTATACTTTCCAAATCATTAATCTGAACTCCTGACATGTACAATCAAATTTATCTTATAACTACTTTATGGAAAAATTACTTAACTCAAATTTGAACTGTTCCTATCTGTAATTTGCTTATTTATTAGCCTACTCATAAGTAACTTGAAAAAATAGCTTAAATATTTTCATACTTGAAAAATAGTGATCATGCCTTATACTGAATCAAAATGTTTTCCCCTACTTTTATGATTTTCTAGACGCTCATCCTGGTTGTTACATTTGCAATGAATGCGCAAACCCTTTCAGCTCGCAATCAGCAGGAGTATCACTAAGTACAGAATGCCGTTTTTGTAAGGTATGTTAATAAGTAAATCTTTTATTAAAATGATCATTACGTATTTGTAATAAAGAAGACTGTAAAACCTTACTAACTATTGGGTTTCTCGTTTTCAATTATTTGAAAAGAATTCAGGCTTAGTGAAATCTTGATTAATTTTAATCAACATAATTTAATCACTTTGTTAACTTCATTCAAATGAATCAGTAACAGAAAAGAAAAAGGGTCAGAATTAATGAATTTATTTATTAGGACATATAAATATTGGCACAAGGAGGCACCAGATATATATGCGCCAGACAAAAAATTGTCATTTCATTTAATTGTGTGAGGGCTATGATACTGCCCGGATGCCCAGAACTAATCAAGTGGTTTCCTTAGGTGACCACACCCGGAGCCTTCGACATAAAGGTCTGATCCACAAGGCAGCGTCAAGAGATACAATACCAGGGTAGCTGGTGACCAACGATTTGTCCACACGCCATTTGTCCCTTCAAGATCCTGGAGTCCATGTGCACCATTGGTTTGAAATCAGGGTTTTCCAACTCTTCTAGGTGGACCGTCTGTGTTCACCAACCCGGTTAAATCGCCAAACATTCGCTTTTCTTCCTCTCACTTTTGTAAACAACATCCCCGCCACGAGAAGGATGTGAGTAAGACTTCCCTGGCAGTGGCTGTATACGCGTGGCCATATGAGAGCATTTCGAAGGCGAGAGCCATTTTGGTAACTTTAGTTTTTTAGAAAACTTCTATAAATCAACTTTGTTGTATTAACATAATTCATGCCAAATTGTTTTTTTCTTAGAATAAAAACAATTTGTAGTTTCAATTAGAAAAGAATTTAAATATAGTATATGACTACATTTACAATGTCTTAGTTATAATCAACCATTATAGATCTAATACATTTTATAAATTTTGTATAAGAAGTTATAAAACTCTATACATTTTGTTGGATCAGTATGCAGGGCTCTTATAATTTCAGACAATCGAAAGAAAATTTAAGCTTATACCAAATTGTTATGTCTTGATCAAGGTCGTCGCTAATTTGTTATGACCTTACAAATTAAACAAGGACGTAACTCGCGTGAACTATCCACCAATAGAATACGACTTCTCCGACCTTAACACGGTGACAATCAAAGACGTCCAATCAGTATGAGTAACCTCGCGTCCTTTTTGGTCCTTAATCCGCCTAGCCCGTCCACTTGAGTCCAGAACACCAATAGCAGCTTCAGCTATGCGAATCGTTTATTTCAAACATACTTTGTTTATATACTAGACAGGCAGACCACGTCACACCATAAAATAAAAAGTAATATTTGTACAAAATCAAGCCAAATGTGGCTGGGAGCGTGGGAGACAATAATCAATAAACTGAGTATAACTTAGGAACAGTAAATCATATAATAATAATCAATAGATTAAAATGAAGCTTGTAATAAGATGAATATAGATATAGATAATCTAGTTACTGAATAGTTATACAATAAGAATATATAAACAATAATAGACCACTATTAGGTCCTGGGAGTTACCCATACTTATGTCTTCGCTAGGATATAACACAAATAATCTGAATTATGTTATTGATCAAATTACTGAAGTCATTATTCTATAAATATGGTCTGTAGACTACGTTATCAATGCAATGCATTCATTCTCCATTGTTTCAGTTAAGAGAGTATTGGGGAACGGGGAATAAAAAATGAATTTATTATTGGTGACTATAAATTATTCTATAATTTCTTTGAACACTCAGAAATAATGAGATGATGATAAATATTACTTCACTATAGTTTATTGGCTATTATGCCACATCTATAATTAGCTGTATTATAGTGTATGCTACTGGTATCGACAGAAATAAGTAATATGTATCATTATTTGAAAGTAAAATACCTGGATTCAAAAGGTTAAGAAGATCGAAGAGAAGAGAATGCGAACAGAGAATGAATAATGTGGAGACGAAAGAACAATAAAGTCCGATACGATTGGCTGACATTTTGCAAATGAAGTATTCATTGTATGGTTCTCAGATTTTACTAAGAGATTCTGTAATGTTGTGCTAAAATACATTTGGTTATATCCGCCTGCTTTCTCGTTCACTACAGTATGCTTACATTTTATAAGCATAAGATTTACTGGGAAATTCACTTATTGGTATTGAAATTCGGTACAAATTACTATCCTCATTAGTTTTAACCGTCTAGAAACAGTTAACAACTCGAAATATTTGCATATATTTATTGCTTATTCATAAATAAAGCCTACTGTAATAAGTTTGCAATAAATAAATAAGGTAAATACAAAGTATCAATGAGTAATCACAAACTTTTTTCGAATAACGTAAAGTAAATCCTTCGTCAAAACTGAAATGGCGAGATTATAATTTTTGGACGAGCCAATCAAATTTGGGATAACAGATCTTGGATTTTGACGCGAAATTCATTCATCCATTTGGTTAAGGGCGTTTTGGGATTTTAGCTGATGTTAGTTCGTGAAAACTTTAAATCGAATTGCTAACCCTAATCATCAACCGTAAATTATAATCCTTATTCTTCATGCAGGTTTATAACTCTCATTTAGGCCTAGTGAGTAGGTAGAGACTCTCAAGGCCACTTTAACTTCGCTCAAGTTTCGTCCATAAATTATAGTCTCACCACAGAATTCAGTAATTTTAAGATTATCACCAATTATTACTAGCTTATGAGCTTAAGTTTAAAGCATTAAGTTATTCAAAGAAACATACTGACAGAGAATTAGAGTATAGAAAAATTTTGATATGGGTTTGTTCTCTGAGCTGGATGGTTTGGTTCAGAAGGACGATGAAAGCTCCACGACTAAACCATCCAGCTCAGAGTACAAACCCACATCAAAATCACCCACCTGAGCTACAAATCTTCGCCATCATCTCGAATATAGAAAGAGTTAACAATTAATGTTGTGATCACATTTCAGATTAAAAAACTACTTTCAAATAGTAATGCAAGTACAATTTTAGAGGCGACCGACTATTACAATATGTTCGTATTTATTTATCTTTTTTGAGTAGTATTATGTCAAATATTTCAATGTACAATGATTTGCTTTCTTATTTTCCTTTTACATAAAGACTACATTTACTTATGGTAAGAATATGATGACACTAAGTATTGCGAAATCATGTGGTCAAATGAATGAAACATGTATAAATAGATACATTGCTTGGTATAATACAACAACGGAAGAAAGTTGTTGTATGACTGATTTATGTAATGCATCTAATATTAAATTGTCAAAGCCAATAGTTTGTCTTTTCATATCTGGTTTAGTCATCTTATTAACTTGTTAAGTGTTATTATACTACTCATATTAAGTACACTTTTAGAGAATACATACTACCAATGAACAAACTGTTAAAGATAAACATAACCTTTTTATAAAACAATGGAATCATTTAGACAAAGTATTATTATTCAGCTTGTTTACTTTACTGATGTTGTTTTCTTTTCTTCATTATCTTTTAATGAGCTATATTCACCTTATCATTCACATATTATTGTTTGTACACGAGTTACTTTGTATTGATTTTTTATGTGCTTAAATCTCACCAATATAGTAAGATGACCTATTGATTAATCTACCTGATCATGAATTATGATGAAAATTTCTTTTGTAATAGGTGACCTTAAGATACATTTTGTTTTTTTTCAAATAAAAAAGCCAGATGCCATTATCTATAAAATTGTTTTGGCGAGACTATAACTGATGGACGAACCAATCAGATCTTAGCGCGAGATTCTTCCACTCATTTGGCTGAATACCATTTCGATATTATAACTGATGTCATTATGTAATGAAAACATTAAATATAATTTCTAACCTTAACATTCAACTGTAAATCCCAATCCTAGTTCCTTGCACTAATTAATAACCCCCATTTCACCCTGGTAAGTAAATGGATATTCTCAAGGTCATTTTAGTGTTGCTCAAAAGCCGTCTATAAATTATAATCTCACCGTTGTTTTGTTTGTTATATGAAAAGTAGTTATTTAATTTAATGACATAACTTCTCAAGATTTTTGAATACATTGAGAAATTTTCCCACAAACAAAAAGATTTCACCATCGTCCAATCAGTAAAACAGTTATCATTTAGGACTTCTCATAGTTTGAAATTTTAAATTTACGCTAATTGAAGTAAAACTCATTACAAACTATCGATTTTGTTTTAATTACTATAGATATTTGTCCATTTGTACTTGACATAAGACAGCTTAAAATACAATATAAAATCATAAGGCCGGTGGGTGCAGACCAATTGTTTCACATTTGCAGAAAACAACTTACTCGTACTCCCTAGTTTCCAAAGGTACCCCAGCTGTTAGTATGTGGCAAAATAAGTTTTTAAACTCAACTGATTACCATAGACCTCTCAATCACACTAAAATAAAACAACCAGTTGTCCCTTCATATGTCTCTACCCTCATTCTTATTATTCTGAGATGAATAATGTATTTTACTTGAAGCTTTGGTCTCGTACACGTCTCAAATAGTAAGTTTAACATACCCAGCTTAGATGTTATACATGACTGTTGCACACAATTTTTGACATTATCACGTTTATAACCAAGTACATGTCAAACTGTTTACCACAATATCCAGCATCATCATTTGAAGAGAGTGCAAATAAAACAATAAGTATTTATATTTAGAGCATCAAATACAGTGTTATAGTGAGCCAATAAGAAGTGGCCGAATGAGGTCACTTGACGACAAGGGATAGAAAAGTATATATGAGTATTTATGAATGTTTACGAGAGCCTAGCAGACTTTTGCTTCCGTTCTTGTCTTTTCGTTCAATTAGTCAATTTATGGGAGTTAGTGAGTAGCACGTTCAGTATCAGATCTCGGGCGTCATCCATCATAACAACTTACTATCTGTGGTCTTATGATGTACCAATATGCAATTAGTGACTTAAGAACAGTAGCTGTTAAAAACAGATGAACTTTGAGAATTCCATGCTTTATGGGCACACACATCAATCGTAGAATTTAACAGAATAAACGCTTAATTTTCTTATATAATCTTGAATAAACAGACAACAGAAAATATGTACGAAATAGTTGTACTTATTATTACATATTGTACACACAAATAAGAATAAACTTTTTCTATGAATATATAAATATAATATACCACTTTTTGATGATTCACAACGACTTTTATTCGTTAGTTCATATGTAAAATTACTGCAATTATAACTAGTAACAAAAGTACACAGAGAAGACAAGAAAAAAAGTCTAAAACAGTATGGTGTGCATAATATAATTTTCATCAGAAAAAAAAAAGTGGGGAAAAACAATAAATAATTAGCACAATCATCCCTATTTTGTTTACTAAAAAAGAAACAAAAAGAAGGAATATCATTTCCAAAATTAAATTTAGAAAAAATTACAACTGAATTTTGCCATAATACACGTTAACAAAACAAGACACCGGTTATCATTTAAAATGCCAAATCTTATTTGGAATTTGTATTGTTATGCTCATTGGAATTAGTATTATTTTCTGGATTTGAATTCTGTCCACTAACATTGGTATGAAATGTTTGACGTAAGTGATTGACAAGTTGTGGATTGGATGCTTGCAATTGTTGAGCAAGTTGTTGACCACTAAAAATAAGAAATTAGAAGAAAATACACAAATATGGTATGATAACAGAAAACTATTTTATTAGGAATAAAACAGGTATATGATAGAAACACTGAATATATGACTAATTATCTAACTAACTACTTGCTTCCTCCTTTCCAGATAACATCAACATGTACTTCATATTTTACATGGACGAGCTATGCTCTGGTTTGATACAGATAATAAACTAGTCTATATTCATCCTGATGTATCAGTGACATTATAACGAAGTAACTCTAAAATGTAAATCAAAGTAAAATCAAAAGACGATAAAAGCATCATACTGAGATAGGATTTGTAGAAAAATGAGGGAGGGAAACAAAACAACAAAATATTTCATATGTTAATGAACTAGCATAAGATATAACTTTCCACAACAGTGCATCCAAAAAGTAGTTATTTGCATTCTACTAGTTTCTAGTGTCTGAAAAAGCCTGCTTACTACTGCATTTTCAAAATTATAGACTGATCAAAATGTAGTCCCTAATATCGACAATGGGATAGACCAAACCCTTCCTAATGACGGCATAAACATTACACCTGTTCAACAATTTAATGGTTATCTGGACTCACTTGCTTATTAGATAACGAATTTGACTTTTAAAGCGAAAGGTACCAGCTTCACGTCCTAATGTGAACATACATCAACAACGGAATGCAGGTGCCCCCAGCTGACGAGCCCCGAATAGGGCGTATCGACCGTCCTGAATTCCACTGCTGTTTACAACTTATCTATTCTAAATAAGATATTTTATCTATTTGTTGATAGAAAGGGTGCAGAAAACGGTGAGTATTATCAAAATTTATGAGCTCTTTTATTTACCTTCTCATAAAATTTTATTTAGCCAATGTAGTAAGGTTCCTTTAGTTCAGTCAAAAGATATCCCGAAGTATAAAACTAATCGAACTATCAATTTTGAGGCACGAGACCATTAGTGTGCAACAAATAAAGCAATACAATATACAGATGATGACCAAATACTCAGAATGAATCTATTTCTAATAAAAATGGAGTGAGTAGAATAAGTAATAAGGAACAAAAAAACTAATTTCTTACAGGCGTAAAAATTCGTCCATACTTTGACCATTAGTACTAGGACCAGCACCACTAGGATTATTACTTCGTGAATTAGATTCTGTCGATTCATTGGAATTGTCAGCTTCAGTATTGCGGGATGAATTATCTGTAGTTGGATTGTCTGATACTCCAAATGTATTGCGTAGTAGATTAGTCATCCTAAATTGATGGCAAAATGAGAACGGTAGAGAATACAACTTTGTTCAATTTTAAGCAGTAGAAAATATTTTGATCATGTTACATAAGATATACTATCTAAATTGGACGTACTACACTATTAAAATGAACAATTACAAACTGCTTGGAAAAAGTACAATGCGTTTAGGATTGATACCGACTAGGAAACATCTATCTTTAAGCACACTGCAGAAATCTGTCATTTTGTTTTACAGACTGTATTTTTTATTGATGACGGGTTTGAAAAACATTTAAATTTAACTCATATGGATATCACCAATTTCCAGCTTAGATTAATTACATCCTGGTGATTTCATTTCTGAGATTCCTCTCACAATTACAAGCATAAATCTTTACTAAACATAGACAGAAACGCAGGACATCGCTTTGAAACATTAATCAGACTTACATATTTTGAGCATTCGGGTCATTCATGAATTGGCGAGCCATATTCTGCATCATTGGATTATTTAGAAAGGAATTTAAGTCAAAACCACTAAATAATCCTGAGCTCTGAGTATTATCTGCTGAATTCTTCAACTTTTCTTCGGCAATTGATAGATTTTGCTGGCAATTCTCGTTATTTGGGTCAAGCTCTAAACCTTTCCGATAACACTCAACAGCTTTAGCATAATTACCAATGCTAGAATAAGCGATACTACAATAAAGAAATACCAAATAAAATTACCAAGTGTATACAAATTAACATGTTGAGTACTTAATTCTTTTGATATACACCAAGTGAAAAGTTTGCTAAAATAGCTGGTAATTATATCACTACGGAACTATGAAGATTGTATCTGGCTCACACAACATATAACATAGGAAAAGTGATTCAGTGTTTGTCAAAGAGTGGCTCTAAATTTAAGTGTGGCTGAATGCCAGTTGAACTGTTTCCCTAAAGTGTTCTGCTTATCATCCAATATCCTGGATTGAGTGAATAATTGGATCGTTTTCAGAAATTGTCTGACTAGTACCTATCCCCTTGATAAGTCTGAATAATTGTCTGCTTTTACCTATGGCCACTTCCTTTTTCATCTCTTTTGTTTTCGTTACCTACCACTGCTCACGATTATTACACAGGCATTTTATCAACCTGCGTTTAAGCTATCTTTGCCTTACATCGTGTTCAAAGCCAGATGGGATGAGTTTCCGAGAATCGATCAGTTCAGTAGCTGCTTCTGACATTCGCTGGTTTCTTTTAAATTTTTGGTTTGAGTTACTAGTAGATGTCACTGCTGTTACCACAGCTGTATGGGTTCCAAGCTACCTCGAGGTGGATATCACATTCATAGTTGGCTAACTGCTTTTCTAGTTTTTTCTGGAATACGCTCTTGACTATTTCATCATTAATTTGAGCTCCCAATGGTTTCCTTGCTGTGCTTTTTCTACATCTATTAAGGTGCACACAAATAAGTGCTCTCAATGGAGCGTGATCTGAGTTTAAATATGTGTCCCAGAATGATCGACAGTCTTATTGAGCCTAATAAAATTCATCTCTTACTTCATCCAAGGTGATATCAGTAAGAGCGTAGGGAGAGAGACAAAGAAGAGGTAATGGGGTGTGTTCCTATACTCCCGTGTTCTTTCTCCCTAGCCTAACCGAATAGCCTATAAGTAACTGTCTATTGAAATCCATTCCATAAGAGCCCGTTTTGCTTTTGAACTTAATGCTATACCTACACCAGTGAGACCAGTGGAAGTGGTAGAGAGATCTTTAGCGTTGACCACAGAGTGAGATCAAGCGAATGGCCCCACTCAGATCCTATGCATGCGTTTTGGAGATGCAACAGACATCGACATGGTGGGGTTCTAGGATCCTAGCTAAAGAAGTATGTTGTTCTAAATGACAAGATTTGAACATTAAAAACCCCAACATGTAGTTTAGAGTGTCATCTCGGGACATCAGGAATAACATTTCGTCAACTCCAATCATTATCATTGGTGGCGCGTGTTGATAAAGATAAACAAGGATAAGTCGTCAATCAGTCACAACGTAGAACCCGTACGTACGTACGTACATCGGCTCAAGTTCCCACACCCCATTAGCACAGAGAGATGAAGTTGTCAAGCCAAATTCCAGAATAGCAGAGGTAGCAACAGTATCAGTGGTAATAGGAAAGATTAGGCACCGAAGATACGATTCGGAAAAATAAAAACTAGCGAAATAGACACACAGAAAAGTTATGAGGAATTAAGAATCTCCGAATTTAGGGGAAGACAAATAATGAGTGCACCTGAGCCACTGAAAACGATTTCGAGCTGTCATTCAGAGTCTCTAACCAAGGATTATTCATGAGGATAGAATTATTAAGACGTGAGGGAGGGATTTTGTCGTGAAGGAACTGATCTCGGGTGCTGATAGAGGTATGGGGGCAACTGTAATTTACGAACTCCCCACATCACGAAAGGATCTGTAAAGGGAATGGGAATAGTGATGTTCTTGGTGACTTGGGAGCGTGACCACAGGGCGTAAGGGACAACTACTCGGGAAAGGTAACGCATAGCCTTTGCGTAGGAAGTTTTGATACGTTAGCTCTGCACTTTAAAAAGCATTACTACCAGAGAAAGAAATCCGTAGGGCTATGTAAGATGTGACAGCAGCAGCATCTTTATAGATGCTGCTTTCCCAGAGAAACCACCTTAAAACCGCCATATCTCTCTACAGTCAGCAATACAACTTCGACCTAGTACTTCAAGTTGCTGAGTTTAGTCTTAGCGTTCTCAAACCGACCTGCTTGGTATAGTAGGACATGACGGAATGTATATTCCAGCCAGTGTACCTCAGTTGAGCTATCGCTATAGGTAAGCCCGACCACTTCAAGGTAGCAGCTATTACTGGAGAGAGTAAACTCTGATAAGGTAGATGAAAAATATTTAACGCTAGCTGGTCATTACCATTTCTGAAATACGTCGTGTTTAGTGAAATTATTCAGTGAAAAAATTTTATGCTGGTTAAAAAAATGCTAAATAAAGACAATATGTTTGATGCCATAAACCTGTATTCTTAATTAGTAAATGATATACTGCTCTGAACCGTACTCAAGGAGATAATATTAACAAACCTTAAATAATATTTGGTAAGTTCGCGACCAAAGGTGATTGCCGACCCCGAATGCGCTGGTACGCCTTCGAAATGCTCTCATATAGCCATGAGTATACAACCACTGCCAGGGAAGTCCTACTCATTGCCTTCTCGTGGCATTACTATTGTTTACGAAATCGAGAGGAAGAAAAGCGAATGTTTGGCTCTTTAACCGGGTTGGTGAACACAGACGGTCCACCTAGGAGAGTTGGAAAACCCTAATTTCAAACCAATGGTGCACATGGGCTCTAGGATCCTGAAGGGACAAATGGTGTGAGGACAAATCGTTGGTCACCAGCTACCATGGGACTGAATCTCTTGACGCTGCCCAACTACCTTGTGGATCAGACCTTTAGGTCGAAGGCTCCAGGTGTGTCCCCCTAAGAGAGCCACTTGATTAGGTCTGGGCACCCGGGCAGTATCATAGCCCTCACACAATTAAATGAAATGACAACTTTTTGTATGACACATATGTGTTCGGTGCCTCCTTGTACCAATATTTATGTGTTCAAATAATAATAATAATGTGATTGCCAGTAGTAATCAAAAATCAAATGAATAAACCTCATGACAGCTATCAAAGTGCTTTTATGATGTATTCATCGATAAAGATATATTGGGATATCCGACCCAGTAATAATTCTAAGGGAACCTTAAAAGGTTGCAAATAATAGGACAGTATGTAAAAAATGAAGGTCCAAATATATAACACTCACCCCATTCTACCATATGCTTTGCTGTAATATGGGTCGATTTCTAAAGCCTTCAGGCAGTCATTAATTGCATCTTGGTGATGGTCTAATCGAGAGTGAGCAGCAGCTCTTCAGACAAAAAAACAAAGTGATCAAAAATTTTCAAGGTAATGAAGAGATGAGATTACATGAAAATTAGTAGTAGTAATTCACTGAGTTAGTCAACTATATAATCTCTTAAGAACATGATATTCCCGTAAACCAATTTTAAAGTTGGCTGTAATCTAAAAAGTAGGCAGTTACATGATACGCTTCTGTTCTAGAAGTAAGCACCTTCCATAACATGCTAATACTAAAAACAATATTCATTCAACTTTTTATAACCCCATATTACGTTACAAAGAGCAATTAGCTAGAACAGATTTTTTATAAGCTATTTGATCCTGGAATTCCAAACCAACAATTACAACACTGGACTATTATATGCCACTATAAACCTTTCAAGTTGATTGTGGACAATCAGCTTAATGGTTTATTTTTTTCATAGATTTGGTTTACATATGGGCTGAAGTGTAAGAAACATGGACTATCATTCCCGTGAAATAAGGCTATAACTCATCTGATCAATTTTAGTAGTATGAAAGTTATTTCAGGTGTAATGGCATCTCTATGGTAGAGTACTAGAGTCTGATTTTTAGAAAATACTCTAAAATGCCATAAAACTCAGAAAGTACCTGTTGCAGTAAAATACGGCATTGTAGGGGGACAGCTCGATAGCTTTACTGTAGCAAGCTACAGCTTCCCCAAACTTCTCCTGTTTCATGCATTGGTTGCCTGCAGGTGCAGCTTAATAAAAAAGAATAGTCATACCTTGATTTTTTAATGCTTCTGCCATTGATTTGGTTTCTTCTGAAGGTTCACTTCTTGGAATATTCGGCTTTTTCTGTAATAGTGACTTAAAAGGCGAGTAATTACTTGGGGCTGGGATTTAAATAATGTTTGTAAATCGAGAACATCACCAACTTCAGTACCAGATATATGAAAAGCTGTTTCTATGCATTGCTTCGCAACTAAAACAAAAGTCATCTGAATAGTTACTCTAAGTTTTTTCAGGTAATCAAATATAAATGACCTGTATACATCGTCAAGTTACGTAAAGGAACGTCTTTTTGAAGCCTTGTAAGGAGGGCTTGTATTTCCTTTAATATTTTATCCAAGAATTCAATGAGTAATTGTTGCATATATCGCAACGACCAAGTTTGCTCCAAGTAATCCAACTTACTCCGTGTGCCACACAAAAAGCAATTCAACAGTAGTTTTCTATGTATCAAATTTGTGTCCGCAACTACATGATCTGCTTTCATGTTATTGTTGAGTCAGTCTTGCTCTCTTGGGTCAAAGATTTCAATAAAAAGGTAACTTGTCAAGAATGTAACTTAGTTACAAAATCATTGGTCAAGAACAGTTAACGAAAACGTTACTCATCAGCGGACATCCACAACTGTGACCACTTTAATAAACAGCGTTCCCGCGACTTACACCAGGGTACAGATAAACTGACTAAAGAATGTTTGGAGGCAATATTAACAATAGTTGGAGAGCTAAAGGAAAAGACGGAACTGAAAAGTGACAAGTATGGCGTAGTTCTACGTTCATAGTTCAGATAAGCATGAAAAATGAATTCAGTCGGTTTTGTAAGACCAAATAAAAGTTAGTAACTGGAATGATTGATATCATACTAAACATAGATGGTAGCAGTAGTTTAAGAAAGCAATATTTTAATCGTTAAATTGTAGATTCAGGTATATTTCCACCTACTTGGTTTTTAGCACCTGGTCAGTATCGACAGACTCTACGTAAAGTATGAGCTTCGGAGTCAAGGTAATAAACCTAAACTTATTAAGTGGGTAACACTGTCATAATCTCGACTTTACCACCCTTCTTCCTAACCCAATTCTACGTCGGCCCTTGCAGTGTGTCTGAAGACAGGAGTATTGAAATTTAACATTGTTATTTGAATAGTAGGCCTATGATCTGACCGATTTTTCGAAATAATATCAAACCCTAAATACGAGACCCACAACTTTAAGACAGGCTAGTACAGTCTCCTAACCGTATATTAGATCACTAGTTGATCTTCATCCAACAGTGTTGCTAATTTTGGGACCAATCTACCTAGAAACACATCACCGCTCTCTCACAATAATACTATATTTTCTTAGACGAAGCTATGCGAAAAGTAATGACTTCCCTATCACAAAGTTAAAGTATGTATGATTACCTTCAAGACCCTCATTTATCTCCGAAGAGTAGATATTGGAACTTATTTCGTTATCGAAGAAACGGGCAATGGACCTGTATATTTCCTTCTTATCAGCCATCATCACAGCCCTTCACGGTAACGACAACTCTCATAAACCCCTCTACAAACGGTACAAATGGCCAAATTCTAGTGGACGAAAAAATGTAGCTCTCGCCTCACAAGTCTCTCTGTGAAATGTCGATGATTCACTTTATACCTTCAAACGTTAAAGCCAGTTCGCTATTGTTCCCGCAACCTTGAGGACCAGACAACATACAAGCTGAAGAACCGAAGTCAGACATGGAGGCAACTGCAAAGATGCGCCATATTCTCTGAAGAAGGATTTTGTAGGAAAAATAAGCGCCAACAGACTAGCAAGGGAGATACCTCATCAAGATACCCAATAAATGAAATCTCAGCAAGTTTGAGAACAACAGAGGTATCACATCACTGTTAGTACCAAGAAAAGCTTACGGCAGTGTTCTTGAAACTAAAGAAGGATTCAGCAGACACTCAGCTTTGAGATCAACAGACCGGACTCTGCAAGAATCGGCCGTGTAACGTTACTACTGAACAATGTTAGGCAGTCGATTGAACGGAATTCGTCACTATACATCGACTTCCCAGATTATGAGAAAGTGTTTAACAATGTGAATGGAATGACCTAGTGGAACCATCTTCGACACTGTGGTGTACCTGAGAAGATAGAAAACATCACAAGGAATTCATGAGATTGATTAAACTGCAATTTCGTTTGTGGGGGACAGCTGACCGACTCACTCCATTGAGGACCAGTGTCAAACAAAGCCGTTTATAATTTTTTCTGGCGGTCGATCAAATTATGAAGACCTCCACATGTAAGGAGAAGCACGGAATACAATGGACAGGTTGGATGCAACTAGACGATTTGGACTTTGTAGATGACCTAGCTCTCTTATCCCATACACATGAACAAATGCAGATGAAGTCTTCTAGTCTAGCAGAGTCTCTGCTTCAGTAGGCCTCAGCATACACGAATGAAAAACCAAAATCGTCAAATAAAACACAGACAACGCTAACTCAATCGTACCTTGGGTGTACAATGGGATTGTGTATGATATGTTTTCAAGTTTTACTTTGACGCACCGGAAAAGCCGTTGACGAGGAGAGGTATTCTATCCGTGGTGTCTTCCCTGTTTGATCCTTTAGGCCTAATTTCCCTAGTCTGTCTCACAGTTAAACTTCTGCCACAAAAGTTGTGTAAGTCTCAAATAGGTTGGGATCCGTCGATCAATGAGCCTTATTTATCGACCTGTCTAAAGTGGATGAACTTCAAGCGACAGATAGGTCACGTTATAATACCTCGAGGAATCAAGAATAGATTCGACGAACCTAACACAAGGGTGGAATTGCAGTTGTATAGTGACGCCTCAGAGGTTGGTTATGGAGCAGTAGCTTATGCACGAATCACTTATTCAAAGGAACCACCATATTGTATTTTCTTGTACAGCAAGTCTAGGGTAGCACCTATCAAACCAATTACTATACTGAGGCTTGAGATGGCGGCAGCGGTTTTAAGCGTAAGGTTAAGTGAACTCCTACAAAGAAGCTTACCCAATTTCTTCCGCGTAGTGAATTTTCATATTGATTCTATGATAGTGTTGTATTACATCAAAAATACAGAAATCCGATATAGTACCTATATTTCTAATCGTCTCGCTATCTTACATCAGTATACAAAAGTTGAGCAATGGACTTATGTCGAATCTTCGGAGAACCCAGCTGATTGAACGTCGAGAGGTATACAAAAATTCGCCGATCTTGAATTGTGGAATAAATGTCCTACTTTACTGCGTGCTGATTTCGGTAAAGCTATTGCCGATTGTCCACAAAAAATTCCTGGCAATATTGAGTTCAGAAAAACTACTGTGGTTAATTGGAGTAGAGTGAATTATGACAAGTTTCCTGTTATTTCTTATTACTCAGACTGGTTAAAATTAGTTAGGGCAGTAGCTTGGCTAAGAAGGTTCCGATTAGTTACTCGTTATAACAATGTTTGCAGGACGAGTAGGCGTACTGTTGTAAGTACTACCCGTTCTTTTATTGTTGAATATGCGATTAGGTGAAACATGGCAAGAGGGCATCAGAATAGCTTGTGCAGTATGGAGGGATTTGGGGGGCCGGTGGTAGATCCATTTTGGAAGTTAAAATCCCTCTATGCATACATTTGTGATTTCTTCTTTGTGGTTTCTTTATTTGTATATATTGTTAACTTTTTTGATGCTAATTAAGTCTGTGACGTTTAATTTTCTTGGTTTTACTATTGTTTTTTATTGAGTCTCTACGTTCCTTACTGAACTGTATCTAGTTTGTTTTAATTGATATTATTATTGGCGGCTGCCATATTGATTGCTCTCTCTTTGATTGTGCGGTTTGATTTTGACTGGGATCGTGCATTTTTGGTTGTAATTTGGAGCACTTTCCCAGAAATTGAAACACTTTGTGTTATAAAACTTGATCTATCCAAAAGGGATAGGATAACACTCACCTTTTGGTGTTTTCGGTAATTTTCATATATTTCTTACCACTTTGCTATTCATTGTAATTTAGATTGAATATTTTGGTATCGATTGTTGGTTGAAAAACTGAGTAGTAATATTTTTTCAGGTAAATTTGTACATTTGTATATATGATGAAATTTAGAACCGTTATTACTCCAAAACACTTTCTTCTAATTTCGATTGAAACGAGTTGCTAAACTTTTACTATCCTCCGTTATTCGGCCACATCCAGACCTATTGGAATCTAGGTCTGGATCCTACATTATTATGATCATTGATTGTTCATTTTTTGTTGTATTGTGTAGGTTTTGGTATGGAAATATATTTACCTTCTTGTCAGGCTAATCACGTGTTCTTGGTCTGAACTGTGTTGAAGTCCTGCAGAGTAGACACTGGGAGGGAATCTAGTTTAGATATTCGCCTAACATAAATTAACGTCCCGTTCGTGTAAAATGGAAAATGATGTAGGAACTTCGTGCCGCCACACTACCTAAATTTCGCCAAATGTTTTCCTGTTATCATTCGTCATCTTTTCTGAAGTCGAAGCCACTTACAATCTAAATATCGACAAGGCTCTTGGTTTCTTAATTTTCGTCTTCCATTTCGCCTAGGCATAAAGAACAGTAATCTTAGATGCTTTAGATGCCTTCATTTCATGAATCACTTTGAACTCTAGTCAAATGGAGACTTTCAAACAAACTGGTACTATATCAGCATAAACTGTGTAGTTTTGGATTAGCGAATACATCTAGGTAATGTTTAGAGACCGAATGTATGAGTCCGATTCGATCAAATGATGTTAACAAAAGATACGTGCCGGTTATTGGCTTAACTCCAGTTAGAGGATAATGGAATAAAGTAAGTTAAATACGTATATTTCATACACATACATATATTTCATACCTCAGGCGAACAATAAGAGTAAAGCTGAGAAGGAAGCTAACATGGTAACTCGTTATACAAATCATAAAAAGCGTTGATGTAGCTCAAATTCAATAGTGCGTCCTGTGACAGAGAGACATACATTGGATAAAACAATAAGTGATAGACGTACACACACATGGCACATAAGAGTAGAAATACGATCACATAAAAATAAGACGCATGTGTTTTCTATGTCATAATTTCATGCGAAAAATATAGAGTTAACATCAAACTCAAATGACTCGGTAGTCACATGCTGTGAGTTCTAAGGCTAGGACGAATCATGTGTGTGTTATTACTAAGCACTACAGACCTACATTGATATTGTTTGGCGCCTTTTCAAGGTTCTGTGTTTGTTGATTGAATGTCCTACATAGGATCACATGGCGGATATTATCTTAGATTTCCTTGTTGTTTGTGAGACGTCCGGTGCCTTTATTTTGAGTGAGCAATGTATTTCCTATCGTCCTATACTGAATGCTGGAGGTTTTGTGCGTTTAAAATTAGAACATTGCCCTCCAACTGTTGTGTTCGAGGATATAAAAAAGTGCCTACTGCAAACACTAGCCTACCTTCTGACACATATAAAATTAAGAGTAACTACCAGCATTAAATTGATGAGTCCGACTTCGGACACAAAAACTTTTATCTCAATTATATTTCTCTTTGCTCATCAACGCAAACCTACTGATGGATTAGTAAAACTGTGCATAACATAAATTTCAAATTTGTATTTATTTGTCTATGTATTCTAACGGAAAGCATTTGTTTTGAATTACTATTTACCTCGTTTATATCATATCAATATACTTTTCGCATACCTATAGTGGTGCTGCTTGTTAACTACACAATCCTGGAGGCCGAACATTCGATAACTTGGAGGAGTTGCATTCAACACTCAGTGCCTAGTGGTCAGAAGTTGTTAACACAGGTACATTTATTCCTTAAGGTATAACTCGGCTACTCAGGTGTGGTCACTCTGTGCAACTCCTTTTTCATATTAAATATGTCATTATACTCCCAGACCAAACGTGTTCTTCAGAATTGCTAAATATCATATCGCTGACTAACACGTAGAACGAGTCAGTATAGAGAATGATGTGACGTTTGCATAGGTTCTTATGAATTAGGTAGTCACATCATGACAAATCTACTAGTTTGGAAATTGTCTATTATTCTAGTAGTATAGATAAATGTGTTAATACTAGCCGGGTAATCAGTCATGCAGACATGTCAGATTCAATACAGAGTGAAGGCCTGGAAGGTCAGTATGATTTGTCACTGATAGAAATGAACACTGCTGCTGGCACGAAGGCGCGAATCTCAGAATTTATGATGACCTTAAGTGTGCTATGCCTAACTAGTGCACTATTTGACGAGATACAATATTATACATGAGGGGGCTCAGTGCCGAGATTCATGCTCTGCCTTCTTTCCTTTGTCGCAAAAGAAATGCATAACTTAATTTTTATACGTCATTTTTTGAGGTGAAATAACGAACCATCTGTCTTGGTCAAATAGTCTAATGGTTCAAAAGCTTTTCCAAGAGTAATCGTCACGTGATAGGCCTCCATACGCCCTGGTACGGCCGACAGTGGGGAGAGTCCGCTCTCCCTCTCGAAATGCTCTCACATGGCCACGCGTATATAGCCTCTGACAGGGAAGTCCTACTCACTGCCTTCTCGTGCCACGGGTGTTGTTCACAAAAGTGTGATGACGAAAAGCGAATGTACGGTACTTTAACCGGGTTGGTGGACACGGAAATTCTACCTAAGGGAGTTGGAAACCCTGGTTCCAAATCAATGGTGCACATGGGCTCCAGTATCCTGAGGGAACAAATGGAGTATGAACCAACTGTTGATCACCGGC